CTTCCTTCCGAGGAGTGGCTGGTGGGATTGAACCGCCAGCCTTCTGGTTAGCAGTCAAGTGCCTTAGGCACTATGCTACCAGAGCTCCTGGCTCCACCCTAGTTAACTCTAATTCACTCTGCTCTGGTGGTACCTGCACAGATACAATCGGCAGGTCTCAGGGTTGGAGTGCAGCTACTTTCTGCCCAGTTCTGCCTTCCTTCAGCCTGGCCTGCTTTTCTCTTTCTTCTCTCCCTCTTGGTCTCCGGCTCAGGCTGGAAACAGTTGGTGCCATTACACATTTTCCCTTCATTGAAAATGAGTGGTGGCCTCAGGGCAAATCTGGGCCTTTGGTTGTCCGTTTTTAATGCTTCTCGTGACAAGAGTGGGAGGACTGTAACGGCCAGAGGGGAGAGCAGTGCCTGGGGGGAGCAGCAGGCCCACGCTGCACGCTCTCCCTTTCCCCTCCTCAGCCGGCCCCCTTATTATGTTGAAGTGTCTTTTATTCCGGACAATGATTATTTCAGAAATGGGGTGGGAGGAGGGTCTCTTCCTTTTAAAACCCTGGAAACAATGGCCTTGGTTCAGAATACACACCATCCTCATTGGAATTCCCCAGTGTCCAGGAGAGCCCCTCAAGGCCCCCTTCCTTTTCCAGTTAAAGGTTAAAGACGCAACCCTGTTTCTTGTAAGGTTCCAGCCTGTGGTTCTGCGTGTTCTGCAGACTGCCTCTATTTTTAAAAGTTTATCAGAAATTACGTATTTGTTATAGAGAAACCATACAGGTTCTGTTACCATAGTTCCTTGTTCCTACAGCTTCTTTTACATTTTAATAGTTCTGGAATTGGATGCATCTTACAGTAGAGATACACATTTTGATATGATACTGTTTCTTTCTTTCTTCCCAATGGATATTCTTTAAATCCACGGATGACTCCCAAAAGACCTCATCTTAAAATTGAGGAAACTCAGTAAAAACAACCATTTGGGAGATGAAAACCTTTCAAAACATGGACTTCTTAGAAGTGAACAAACAAAAGAGATCCCACATTTACCATCTCACTTTCTCCAAGAAACTGTATGCATGACCATCCTGGGGGAAAAAAAGCTGGCAATGGTTGATCCTTGGTTCATCACGTTTCTTTCTGTGGGACTAATTTTAGTTCCTAAGATTATCCCTTGCACATTACTCCCTCAGCTTTCAGGTCAAAGATATTTGCATATTTGCACACTTAACATGAGAGCTTTGTTTTCCCGTTGTTGTATTTGCTTATTTACAGTTGTTCCCTCTGAATAAAGCAGTTTTGTTTTGCCAGTTGGCCTTTCAGCTTTTCTGAGGCGGTCTCAGAGAAGGCGTGAGGTTGGCCCGGGGATGCCCTGGTGGAGCGTGGGCCCGCTCTGCTGGGGTTCGGCAGCCTCTGCACAACCTGGCCTTGTGGATGTGACAGTCGGGGCTGTTGACACGCTCTATGGTCCATGGTGTCTGTGTGCAACTACTCAGTATGGAGACTGGATGTTGCTGAATCAAGGCAGTTTTTGTGTGAAGAATGGAGGCGCTTTCAGCAATTTGTCAGGATGGCTGGGAGTTTGTCAGATCAAGGACTGGATCCCAAAGCCTAAACCTCAGAAGGACAACCAAGAAATCAGAAAGCACATTGCTTGAAGACTGCCTTTGGAGATTATCATGAAATGTGGTGCTGCTCCCTCAGTCTTCTTGGATGCCCTTGCCCATCCGTTAGTGATGCTGGCCTTGGGGGTGGAAGGTTGATTAGTACTCTTACAAAAACAAAACAAACCAAACTCACTGCCATCAAATCAATTGGTAGTAAATATTTCCATAAAGATTTACCCATCTCCCTTCCACAGAGTGGCTGGTGAGTTTGAACCACCAAACTTCTGGTTAACAGTCAAATGCCTTAAGCACTACACCACTAGAGCTCCTTAATACTCTTAAGGGATGCTGGTAATATTGTCATATTAGGTTGCTGAATGAGAAAGAAGACCAAGCCCTGACAATGTATTAATGGAGCAGTCTGGAGACAAATAGGAGGACTACCATCCTCTTCTAGTCCTCCCCCCCCTCCCCCCCATATAATCTTAAGGAGCTCTGGTGGCGTAGTACCTAAGGCATTTGTCTGCAACCAGAAAGTTGGTGGTTCAAACCCATCAGCCATTCCTCAGAAGGAAGACTGGGCAGTCCACTTCCATAAAGATTTACTGCCTTGGCCTATACAACTATGAGACCAGAAGAACTAGATGGTGCCTGGCTACCATTGTCAACCACTCAGAGGGAGATCTATGTAGGAGATTCTGGATAAAGAGGGAAAATAATGTGGAACAAAACTCAATCATTTGGAGAAAAAAAAAAAGGAGGAACTAGGTTTGCTGGTCTGATAGAGCCTGGTGGAACCACTGAGACTATGGCCCCTAGCTGCCCTTCAGGTCTGGAATTGAACCCACACCTGTGGCTTCCAGCCAAGCAAAAGACAGGCATATGAGTTGAACATTTACCTGAGGTAGATACACTCCTTGGAGAGAACAATCATGGGAGAAAGAAGGGCTGTTTATGCACAGGGAGACAGCTCAGGGGGCAGGAGTGCATAGAGGGATGGACACTGGGAAGAGGCAACTATGGGGAGGAAGTGGGAGGGGAGCTGTTGCATTGGGGTAAATTGTAGTCAATGTCATGAGACAAAGTATATGTGAACTGCTGTATGGAAAGTGAATTTGCTCTGAAAATATTCACCCAAATCACAATTAAAAAAAAAAAAAAATTACTGCCTTGGAAACCCAATGGGGGTTGCTATTAGTCAGAGCAGACTTGATGGCAGTGAGTTTGGTTTGGTATATAGTCAAGGAGCTATGGTGGCATTGTGGTTAAGGCACTGGGCCACTAACCAAAGGTCCATGGTTTGAACCCACTAGCCGCTTTGCAGAAAAAAGATGACACAGTCTGCTTCCGTAAAGATTCACAGCCTTAGAAACCCTATAGGGGTCGCTGTGAGTTGGAATCAACTCATTGGCAGTGGGTTTTTGGGGTATATAATCTTAAAGGAGCTCTGGTGGCATAATGATTAAAACATTTAGTTTGAACCAGCTGTTCCGTGGGAGAAAGATGATGCAGTTTGCTTCTGTAAAGATTTACAGCCTTAGAAACCCTATGGGGCAGTTCTACTTTGTCCTAAAAGGTCGCTATGAGTCATAATTGACTCGATGGCAGTAAGTGGGTGAGCATATAATCTTACTATAAATTCCCACAAAGCATTGCCCTTCATGCTAATATCCCCCAGAGCACGCACGCGCGCGCACACACACACACACAAGCACATAACCCTAAACAATACACAGGGCCTTTAAGACTCAAATCCAGGCTAGTTTCATGCTTGACCTAGAGGAACATTTCTACAGCTGCATATGAGAAAATGGCTTCTTAGTGAGACTAGAAACAAAGAACTCCTTTTAATTTTTCTATTGTGATCTATTTTCTGACCTTGAGTACCACTTTCACAGTTTGTACCAAGACACAGTTTAGAGCGAGTCTTCCTGATGCATGTCCCTCCAACCCACCCCATGGAATCTCATTGACTGAAGCACCCCAGCTGGCCCCAGGGTCCTGGAGCAGGAGGATGCGTCAATCTCACCACAGGCGGTGCCCCTCTCAGGTGGCATTTCACAGCCCATTGGACTTTTTTTCTGCACCCTGTACCATCCCCCGAGTAAGTGGTAATGAGCAACTTAATGTGCTGACTGATCCAATCCCTCCTTGGTCCATTACAACAAAAGTTGCTCTTTTCTCATTAGAACCATTTTTGTCAGGGTGTCTTTAATCAATGGCTTCCCTGGGGACAATATTTTTAGAAGTTGTATTTTTCACACTCTCTCTTTTCCCCTTTTGAAAGTTCTCTTCCCTGTGCCTGGTGAAATGAACTAATGAGATGCCATGAGAGTTTGGGCCAGTGTTAATTGGAACAGGTATGAAAGAAGCCGCTCACGCTCACTTTCACTTCCATTTCGCCTTACCTGTGTTCCGTTTCTCTGTCTCCTTGGTGTAGGTTGCACAGACAGCAGATGGTGTGGATGCTGACCTCTGGAAAGATGGCTTATTTAAATCCAAGGTTACCAGATACCTGTGTTTCACAAGATCATTTTCCAAAGAAAATGTAAGTCTGGTAGTGGCTTCTGTTTGCTGAGTGAGCATAAGTAATTTATGTTCCTATTTGAAATTTCCACAGTTTTTGTTGTTGTTGTGGTTTATTTTCATCACCATGTTAATTTATCTGTGGTTTTAGTGAACCGGGTAGAATCAGCAGCTAGTGCTATGTTTCATTTATTAACAGTGTTATTAACCATGTACCCAAGTGTACAGTGAATTCCATTAAAATGTGTTCTCAAAAAGGAAATTTCTCTCACAGCTCTCATTTGCCTACCTTTCCTCCAAGCAACAAATCACAGGGTTGTGTGGGTGTGAGAATTTTCCAGGAGAACTGGATTTAAAGCTGGCCAGCATGGTAGCATAGCTAAAAGGAGACCTATGTGATCGGTCCTGTCCGCAGACATGGCCTTGTTTCTTTCTTCCTGAGCCTGTATATGACACATGGCAGTTCATCATTTTTGCAGATTGAGATCCACAAGCACAAGTTTCTTTTAACTCACTGCCATTGAGTTGATTCTGACTCATAGCGACTCCCTTTGGGTTTCCAAAGCTGTGAATCTTTACGGAAGTAGATTGTCCCATTTCCTGC